TTGCTACGGTATGTAACTACTTTAAATAAAAAGAACCAAGTCGATATTTCATCGGGCCTAAGAGATATGGAGAAATTCGTAAAAACATATTTTACTTAGTTTCACCCCCTTAAGGGTTGAACTTATAAAGCTTCCTTCTTAGTGGATGCTTACGACATGGCAAAAATATGCGCCAATTTCATGAGTCTTTATATAGATTTAGGGGTTTAGGCTGGACGTGTTGATGAGTTAGTCAGTCAGTTAGGACATTTGTTTTTATATAGCTATATATAGATTACAGGAATTAAGATATTACGCAACAAAAAAATTTAATGATGACTATCGCTACACACGTAGTACTGTGTTATATGTGTGTATATATAGGTACATACACCAATTTAGTATAAGGTGTAGAGCAATGTGAAGTAAATTTTAACAGCTTAAATATGTATTAAGAAATATATATATTTAAAAAGTTGTATTGTTCGAGACGATAAATTTGAAAACGGAAATAAATTTTGTAAACTATGCGTCTTTTAATAGATGTTTTTTAAACAAAACTATATAAATCTTCTAGCACATTGCACTAAAGAAATAACTGAAATAATAATAAATAATTCAATAATATTAAAATACAAAACTGAAATTTTACAATACATTTATTTATTAAAATAAATATATTTAAAAAATTTTCAGTATTTATCGAAATATTCCGTAAATTAATTTTTGTTTTAACTAGACACACAGACGCGCGGTACGCGCTATTTAGCTTTAATATTATAGGTAAAGGTACTATCACTGTTATATTATTAAGCTTTATTTTAATATCTCTATGCAGAATAGCTAAAAACACATATGAATAATTATTCAGTTCTATTTAGAAAATACTGATGACATTAATATATCATACAAAAAAATTACACAAAGAATCTTCTAATACATTTATTTTTTTTATTTTTTCTCTTGAATATTTGTTTGTTATAAATTTCGGACAGTAGTTATTAAAATATAAATTGAATGTGTATATAGGACAGAAATATAATATAAATCGTTACGTCATAGAACAGGCCTACAACTGGTTTGCACATTTCAGTCAATATTATACTTACTATATACATTCTCCCTTCTCGCGCTTCGTAGCATCTATTAGGCTGTTTGCGGAAACATAAAATACTTGAGCTCAAGAATGGTATTACATTGAGAAAGAAAATTGACTGTACGCGCGGACTAAATTTGTATAATTGTTGATCCAATGGTTGATTCAACAATTATTAAGTTGCACAAAAAAAAGTGTAATCATTCTATAGTTTTTATTCATGTCATCCATCAACATTTTTTAATAAAAATTAGTTAATTTAACTTATGTTAAACCAACTAATGTTTAGTTGAACGTATCAGACTAAATATTTTAGTTGGATGAAATATATTTAGCGTTTTTCAATAAATTTCTTTCTCAGAGTAGCTATAAATAGTGCGCCCCGCGCGTGCCTGAGTGTTTGTGTATGGTGTGGTGTGTAATAGGATATATATTACATATTATATAATTATACATATATTACATATATTTTAAATATATAAATATATATATATGTATAATATATTATATTATATTATTATATGGATTTTATATGCATATATAATAACAACTATGACCTGCAGTAAATACACCAGCGCACACTCGACAAAGTTTCACACAGGCATACAATTTATAAGTTAATAGCTTTTCTTAGGTTAGCTCGAACCTTTTATGGCTCCGTGAACAACATGTATGCCACGAAACGAGGGGAGTGAAGTTAACAGAAAGCAATATCGGGCAAATCTGCTGTAGACCTGAATGTCAACATTTTGTATCAATCAGGACAAACTTATTTTAACTTTTTTTCCGACATATCATCTTCCGTCAGTTAATATATATATATAGGACATTTGTTGTATAATCATTCTCTATCATCCAATGTAACCCCAAGAATGTTTGATAATTCGTTTATGGTTTCGGGAAGCATTTTAGAATTATCAAGCTGATTCACAAACCATATTTTGGCCAACTCACGAGTTTCTTCCAAATTGTATAAATCGCGGATTATAGGGCAGGCATATTTCGGCATACAATATTCGCTGACAAAGTTTATAGCATCCTCGAATATTCGTCTGTTATCATCTAACCATCTATTTTTGATACACAAGCGCAGCCAGAGAAACCTGCGAGATACGTGCGCGGTATGTTACTCGATCAACTGCAAAACAATCTGAATATAGAAAAGTATATTTACCTTATTTCACAAATCTCCTGGTTACGCAGAAACGTATCTTCTATCTTTTGTAACTTGTCTACCGTCAGAACCGTATTAGGCAATGCAAGTAAATAGGTTAAAAATTCTATTATAGCGAAATCATTAAACTGGTCAAAGTTTTTAATCGTATCAAAACACGCTGTTTCTTGTTCGACCCACCTCTGCCAACGACTCCTTATAATCATGGGATTGTGATAAGAAGGTGGGAAATCTGGTTCATTAAACCATTTATCCCAATCTATATTATTTAATATCTAGCCACAAGATAAAAGTTGTTATTCGCTGTTTAATAAACTAAAATTAAGAACTATAGTTTATTTGCATAAAAATTATATTACCTGGTCTTTTCCATTAACAGAAAAAAATGCATTCAGAAGAATCTTAAAACGATCAGTCGTTAGGAATGGATTGTCTATACTACGATGAAGTGGCAATACACCTCCTACAAGAAAACCTGTGAAAACTTGGGACCCACCTAACATATTTTGTAAGTAATTCAAAAACGCACACCCTTTTTCCGACACGTATTTAATAATATTCATGGGCAATTTCGTCAAATCTGTAGGTACTAAAGAGTCGGTGTGTAACTCTGGCTGTAACAGTAATTCAGTTTCAGAAAATAGTGTAAAATTATGTAAATGTAACTGTAATAGTATAATTCAGATTTAAAAAATAGTGAAGTAAGTATGTAATGCATATGAAGTGGAAAGCACACGTATGAAGTGGAAAATAATATTATCAATCATATTCAATACATTTCTTTTTGTAATTTTATCCAAGCAAAATTAATACTTTACCATATTCAGCACATTGTTAATGCCTTTTATTTTTAGAAATTCGCGAATACCTCCGTCGTCTATTATATTATTTATAGGATTTCTATAAATGAATGTACTAAGGCCTTTAATCAACCACAAGTGTGTGAAATTTTCAATCACAACTGATCTTCCTATCCAGCTCTCAATGATGTTTTGAACAATTGTATCGATCAAAGAATAATGTCCTTCAAGTAAAGTTGACGACACGAATGTCACATCAGGATATTGCATATCGAATTCCGGCACATTTGGTGGAAGCACACATACATTAACTTCATCTACTTCTTCTTCATCTAGATATCATTTTATAAACATATTAAAAATAAAATAGTAATAAAAAGAACGAGACTGACAATTCCTTATAAAATAAAATGCATATAAACATGTTATACATAAAAACTGAAACGACAAATTAAGTTGACATATTACCCTTATTATAGAAATGATACGACTCTTTGATGTTAGACAGCATGGTCATAATTTTACTTTTATGAATAGCCCATGTACCCTCATTCAAATATATATTTTCAGTCCACAAGTTGCATCTTAGATTCCCAATACTGGCCACCTCTTGTACAATTAGTGAACCTACTATAATATATATCTCATGCGGTGCTATATTTCGCAAGAATTGAAGAAATGTGTATACATCTTGGTCACCCACTTTATCCATACTTCTAGCCCCAGGCATCATAACGTTAAGACCACTTGGTATATAAATCTAAAAAAAATGTAAGGTAAACATCAATAAAAGTTGAATAGGTAAACCATTCTGTAAATAGATAAAGTAGTAAATATAAAAGTATGAAATTATAATTGCAATTTTACATGCTCACATTTATCTCCCTAACATATGTTATACTTTTCACTTTGACGTTTTATTACTTTTATTAATAATATCAATGTCAATCAATCAGACATTACTGTGCTTACAAATAAATACAAAATGCATACTGCAGTGTTTAAATTCTTACCTTCGAATGGAATGAGGTTCTATTTGATGGTGTATCTTGACAGGGAAATATAGCTCTGGCATATGTAAGCTGAAAATATATTGATTTGTGAGTACTATACACGTTGATACAGGAGAACTAAATCATTGTTTTATAATTCACCTTGCTGTTAGATATCAAGAGGGGGATACCATCGGAAGTTTGATGAGGTTCTATCCAATATAATGCAGGAGATTCTGGACTTGTCTTATATTTAATCTGAATTTCATAACTGAAAACACGATATCGTCATATATACATATAAAATATCTGTATCAATAATTTCGAAAATCTCGGTACTTGTCAAACATATTCTATACTTACATTTCTTCAGGGTTTTTAGGGTCTGCTACTATCCACGGTCTGCTACTATCCACGTTTGGTAGCTCAATGATCAATTTACTGCCAAATTTATCATCATGATTATCAATAGCTTTTGTTAAGCTTACTCCAGTATGATAGTCTGTCACGTCACCTATCTCAAGTCCGTAGGTATCTAAAACCTAATTGCTTGATATTATTAACTAAACTGAAATATATATATATATATATATGTATACTAAAATTAAAAAAAAATGTTTACTAACTAGTTCGTTACACGTCGACTCTTTCTTCTCTATTTCCAATATTGCCTTGCCCTCAAGAACTCGATCGTCAAAATTCACGGATAATTCTAAGCGAGTGTGAATCACAGCAACGAGGTCTAATAAATAACAATTTATAGAAATTGAAATTTATTCAAATACTTAAGAAAGCAATATATAAATAATAATTATAAGTACGTGTCAAGAAATATAATACATTACAATTAAATATAATTTTAAATAGGATATAGATTTTAGTAGAGAAATTTTAATAGCGTTATGAACTGTTGGACATATACATATTATTTGTATTTAAAGAAACAATGACCTTGCTACATTGAAACAATGACATAATTTACAAAATTGTGCGGATTATATTTAAAAACTTGGAAACACAAACGACAGCGTCGCCTTTCAATACCGATAAACTTGTAGACTATCTTTATTGCTTATCCCCGCAGGGTTTGCAAGGCGTTTTTTCTTAGGAACGTTACCCAAACCTCCACAATGCTATCCTCTCACTTTAACCCTTTGGACCAACGGTTTAACGTCTCTTCCGAAAGACGGAGCCCAGTTTCCATCTAGGGATACCTAGGTGGCGGGGGCAGCGTGTTACAGCAGAGAAAATTCTTGAGAAAATTCTAAGTGGCCTAGCGGGATTCGAACCCGGCTATTGCAACCTGCTCCGGATTACGAATCTGGCGCTCTACCCACTAGGCCAGCCGTTTCCCCACACCGATAAACTTGTAATTACCCGATATCAGTGTTTTATTTTCTTTAGAAAACATAACGAAAATGAAGGTTTAATATTTAATATTATACTTATATAAATAATTACGTAATTAATATACCTGGTCTCGAATAAGAATACGGAATATCTCTTGCAGGTGGCTGAGATGGCTGATCCATTTTAAAATTTGTGTGAACCTTTCCAAATGCGTACCGACAATACAACTATATCATCAAATTAAGAACAGTATCGCTCGTTCTCTTCCCTCTCCAACTGATACCTTTCCTACTGTCCTACCTTCAACGTTTAAAATTTCTCGTGTTTAACAACATATTTGTTTATTTATTAGAGTATGAAGTGACTTCCATGTACCGCACAAACAGTTGACGGTTACGTTTGGCAAATCAAATACGCACAATAAATATTTATTTTTCTTAACGCACGATTTATACTGAAATTAATAAGTAACAATATATAATAATATAACGATATAATATACAGTATATCGTGGGAGCGTGTATATCTAAAAAAAACATCAGCTCGGCGATACGGCTAAAGCACCACTTTGTAAAATGAAAAGTTTTTAAAAATATTTTTTTGCTCTTTAAGGTTTATGCAATAAAGTTCTTATAAAAAGTTTTCGATTCAGTAAATTATTTTCCTTAAATAAATTGCCAAAGTTAGGTATCATTTTTAGGCCTCAGAGATGATAAGTACGCACTTGAAAAATTTAAAATTTTATGTTTGCGATTTAAAAATGATTAAAGTTTAAATATTAATTTTTGAAGTAACCGACGACTATCATTCCAATATCAAAGTATAACGCAACACGAGGAGATTGAGACAAAAATTATTACACAATATTTTATCGAAAGAATTTTCTTTAAATCGAAATTAAATTCTCATCATGTTCGTGTGGCGAAATGGAGCAAATAGGATCATTCGTGGCAATGTGATAATATTCTCCACTGTCTTGGTTGACCAGAGGTTTACTCGAGAACGATTACCGTGCCGCATCATCATCTCCCTGACTCGGATTATCATATTTTCATTCGCGTCTGAGTTTGTTGTAATATCTTCAAACGTTATTATAATGTCTTGCAACAAAAATATATCATATAGAATGATATTTCAGTA